TATCTCTTATTATAATTTTAATATAGTTTTATCTGAATTTAGATTATTATAAAGAAGTTTTATCCTTCATATATAATTAGAGTAAATTTGAATTTTAACTAATCTATTAGATTTAATCAAATCTAAATTTAAACTAATTTGTTAGATTTAGATTTAGATTCAGATTAAATTTATAAAAATAAAAGTTAAGTCATATTAAATTTAAATAAAATCTGATTTGATCTAATTTTGTAAATATTTATTTAATCATTTTAATATATAAATAAATTATAATTATAAAAAATTTAAATTGATATATACAATAGTTTAATATAATTTATTTAAAAATTAATTATATATACAAAAATATTAACTTATTATATTTAATAAATTTTATTAATAATTAATTTTTAATTTTTAATATTTTATGTAATGTATTATTAAAAAAATTTGATTAGATCTAAAATATTAAAATTTAATATAAATAATTAAATTATATAGAGTTTTGAAAATAATTCACATAAACTTGTATATTTAACTTGCATAATTATATATAATTGTAAATTTTTATTATACATAATTAATAAGTATTTTAAATTAAATATATGTAAAATAATTTTAATTTAAAATTTGATTTAATTTGACTCATTAGAAATTCTAAAATTATATATTAAAAATAATTTTTAAAAATAATTTTATATAGATTATATATAAATTATTTAAATTTATATATTATATAGATTTTATTTTAAATTACAAATTTTAATTTTATATAGAATTATATAAAAATTATAAGATTTATATAAAATTATACTTATAAAAATTTTTTAAATGTAATTAATTCTTATATCATTAATTTTCTATATAATTAAAAATATTATTAATATATAATTCTTGTAAATTATAATAGTTAAATAAAATGTTCAAGTGATAAATTATTTAAATTTATATAGTAATTCAATTATAAAAATAATATTTTAACTTATTAATAGTCGATTATAAGTAAAATAATTCATATAGATATTAAGACTTTATTTAATTTAATTTAATAATATATTTATTAGATAAAGAATAAAAAAGATCAAAGATAATTAAAAAAAAAAATAACAAAAATATTAAATAAAAATAAAAGAAACTAAAGGAAAATCAAAATAATTAAAAAATATTAAAAGAAATTAAAAGAAAATTATAAAATATATTATAGTTTAATTATATTTATTAAAGAAGAATTAAAATAAATTTTTTAAAAAAAAATCAACTAATTATTTTAAAAAGGAATTCTTTAAATTAAATGCTTTTAAATAATTAAAATTCTTAAATTAATTATTTCTACTAGAAGAAAAATACTAAAATAAAGAATTTTAAATTAAAAATCTTTAAACTATTAAAAAGAAAATATTGAATTTATATTTTTTTATATAATTTTTAGTATTATATTATATTTAATTTTATTAGTCTGAAATTAAATGAAGGACTACTATGATTTAGATTCTATGAAAAAAATATTTTTATGTCTGCTCACTTAATAATTGAATTGATGCTGATTGGTTTTTACAATTGCATAAAATCTAATAAAGCAAATACCAGTATGAATAATTTTAGTTAAAATTATTTTAACTTAACAATAGTCTCTATTTTCTAGTTTAATATATAATTACTTTATAATAAAAAAAAAAAAAATTCTAAAAATAATTTTTTTTAAATTAATGTTAAATCAAACTTATTTTATTAAAAAAAAATTTCATATTTAGCTTATAAAGTAAAAAACTTTTTTTTTATAATTTTTTTTCTTTCTATTTATAAAGCACTTATATTTACTTTATCAATTATATTGATTATATCAATTATATTAAAATTTTCAGATTTTTTAGATATATTAGATTTGTAAATAATTTGTATTACATTATATTAATCTTTTTATAGCATATTTTTATCAAATTAAAATTAATAATAAATTATAAAATACTTTTTTATAATCATATCATATAACCTTTTTTAAAGGTTGCTATTTTAAATATGATAAAATATTTAATTTTTAATTTTACTAATTTTTTTATTAAGGTTATAATAAAATTTTGATATTTTATAAATTTTAATATTTTTTACTTTTTTTTTGAATTTTGCAGATTTTAATAAGATTAATATATTTTTATATATAAATTTATTTCTCATAAATGTAATTAAAAATTATTGATAAAAAGAATTTGATCTTGATATAAGATACTAATTTAAAATTTAATATTATATTTAAAAAATATTTTTTTTTAAAATAAATTAACAATATTATTATTAATAAAAGAAAAAAATTTAGCAATATTTTAATAAAGAAAAAAAAGAATAATCTTTTAAATAAAGAATTTAAATATTTAATTAATAAAGAACTTTATTTATATGCATACATAATCAATAAAAGGCTAGGTAGGTTAATTAACCGGTAATTAACCGCTTAAGAATTTTTTTAAGACCGAAAAATTTATTAATCGATTTCGTTGTTTTCATATTTAACGTAAGAAAAAACGAAAAAAAAAAAAAAATACTTGGAATAATTGTAACATTTATTTATAATTGTGATAAAAATATTTATATAAAATAATTAAAAGAAAAAAAATAACCGAACATGATCTCTTTTTTCTTTTTCTTTTTTTTAGAATAAAAAAGAGAGTAACAAAGAAAAAAATTTAAGTACAAGGATGAGAATTTCCTATAGGTTAATAAAACTCACATAAGTTAAGTAATATATAATCCATGCGCCTGGATGTATTTGATCACAGAATTAGGAAGAAGGTATTTTATAGACATTCCGCGCTTCACGAACAATCTATTAAACAAGTAATGTCTAAATAGCGATTAAAAATAAATAAAAAATAAATAAAGATAAATAAAAAATAAAAGCATACCGAACTTTCGTTGAGCTGATATCGTTGTAGATCAATTGTTTGATTACAAATACATTTTTCTATATGATGCAATTAATGATTAATAACAGGATGAAGATATGGTTGTTCTAAAAAAAATTATTCATTTATACCCTATGTTGGTAAAGTATGTCGTGACCTAATAAAAAGCCCCAAACGTCGACTCCAGTCCTTTCAACAATCAAACATCCATAAGAACCGAGAATATGATGAAGCTATCATATATGAGAAAATATAAGTATACACTACACCATCTTAAATAATATATAACAAGCAACGTACATCATCATCCTGCCAGAGATCAGGTATTTTGAAAGATTCGATCAAGTCACCACCAGCAAGCAGCAGAACTTTCACATTACGATAATCACCTTTAATAATGAATGGAAAAAATTTAAATATAATTTAAAAGAAGATAAATTAAGTAGAAAATTACCATTAGCTGTCTTAATGCCACCACGTTTGATGTTTATTTCTTCATTAAAGTGATCAAGGACCATTGCTGTTCTAGTGTAATCGTACTGAAGTGATTCCCATGCGTCAACCATTAACCAGGTGGAAGTTCGTTCTACCGCAAGCTCACACATACGAACTCTATGATGAGACGGCGCTAATCCTTCCTTTTTGTAATGGTCTGATACAGGAGAATAGTATCCTCCAACAATTTCAAAATTCGTGTTCTCGAGGATGTAATCCTTCGCCATTTCTGTAAAGAAAATAAAATGTAAAACAATCTTTTACATTCACGAATGTAGTTGAATAGATATTAAAATAATCCTGTACCGAAAATCCGTAGGTGTAAATAAGTTATTGGCGAAAACGACCCACACGCGATTATAACAACAGGTTCTTTCGTTGCATCTGCTGGATTTTGATTGAGGATGTAATTCTTTCATTATTTAAACAATATAAAAATTACTAATTGGTTTATTTCTTGACTTGTATTCCTATATAAGAAAAGGCGTTAAATCGAACCAAATACGATGAGAAAGAATTCAAATTTTCTAAGCTATAATGTTCGTGGACGTTACATTTTGAATGAGAAAGTTCGGAATTTTTAACACGTGTTTATATTTGAATAAAGAAGCATTTACCACATACGCGTGTTATTTTAAGATATCAAGGTAAAGCTTTATTTCAATTTACAATTTATTTACAACATAAAGCAATGGAAGAAGCATACCTCCAAGTCCTGATTTAAGTCTATGGGAAGGAAAAAAATAATCTTTAATGTCTGAGGGTTGAAGTTTAACAGCAGGATCGTCTTCTTCCAGCTCAGTGGCCGAAGGAGAGGGTAAACGAAAGTTCTTATTTTGACCATTGATTTTTATTTTTTCATATGTAGCCATAGTGAGTGTTGTTATTATGAAAGAACAAAAGTAACACCAGAACCTAATGAACTTATATAATGAAATATATAATAAATAATGACTTAATATTATTCTCACGCTCTTTGATTTGATTGGGTAATCAAGTAGATGTTGATTAAGTATTAGTCAATCAACCATCTGAAAAATTATTTTTGCTAACGGAGGAATTCAATTTATCGTTAAATAATATAATAATATGATATGATAAAGAACTCGTTTCGGCGTAAAATCAGCAGCCAATCAAGTGTCAAAAATACTCTTGGATACTTTTACGTAAGTTTATGTTATGTTAATTGATATTGAAACTTGTTTAATTGGAATTGTATTGTTGTTGACCAATCGAAATTTTTCAAATTTTCAATTTTAAAAAAGAATTTATTTTATTTAATTCGAAATCGAAACAATAATTACCATTTATATAAGGAATGCTACTTTCAATCGCACTATAAATTTGGCAATCAATCTTAATTCTGGCCTAAAGATTCGGGCTAACCCTCTGAGCACATAATCACCAAATATTTTTGGTCCCGAGGGGTGTGACATATAGAAATATAGAAATAGTATTTTTTTTCGGAAAAAAAAATGAAATCTCCGGAGCGATCTTAACTAAAAAAAAAAAATTTGTGCATTCGACTATCTAGGTTAAGTCCGACCAAATCACGTGTTACCAAGATAGACGTTCGCTTCATTTTTGTGTCACATTGTGTAGTAGTATGCAAGAGTTCTTTCACTTGCAATGTCAACCACGGCGACTACCTCTCAACCACAAAAGGCTACACCCGCTTACGCGTCTCAGGACGCTTTAGGGAAAAAACTTATATATCATAATAAGCAAAGCTTAAGTTATATAATAAGATCTGGCTTGGCCGGTGGCGTTGCCGGCTGTGTGGTGGGTTTTTTTTCTTTAAAAAATAATAATAATAATTCATCCAAGTTTTGCTCACAACCTTTATTAAAATAACAGGCTAAAACTGTAATTGCACCACTGGACAGAGTAAAAATCTTGTTCCAAACTAATAGCCCACTATTTCAAAAATATGCAGGTAGATTCTACTTTTGAAGCGTTTTGACATAAAACCCTTTTGGTGTGTAATTGCATGCTGTGATTTGTTTATAGGAATCATATGATGAACCTATTAGTAGTAAACTGTTATTGATTAATTATTATTTTATTTATATTCGATTAATAGGCACATGGATGGGTGTATTTCAAGCAAGCAAAGAAATTTATACAAATAATGGGGCTAGGGGGTTATTCCAGGGTCATTCTGCAACTTTAATGAGAATTTTCCCTTATGCTGCAATTAAATTTGTCGCATATGAACAAATTCGTCATGTAAGGTTTATAGTTATAAAAACTTTCAATATTTTAGATGATTTGTGTGTCACAATTATGAACGAACTTAAATTTAGATCTTAATGCCAACGCAACACGAGACTGCATTTAGACATTTATTGTCCGGATCTTTGGCTGGTAAGTTCTTTGTAATCTTTTCCTTATTCTATATTAATGTGATCAATCCCGTGACATCATGTTTTTTTTTGAATCTGTGGGATTTGTCTCTAGGTGTTACATCTGTGTTGTGTACTTATCCTTTAGAGCTTATACGTGTGCGACTTGCCTTTGAGGTCCGATATGATTCACGTTTAAGTTATGTTTCATTATGTAAACAGATATATCATGAAAGTGCGTCTCATAGTCGAATGATTCATTTTCCAATTATGAATTTCTATCGAGGTTTAAATCCTACGATAATGGGCATGATACCATATGCAGGAGTTTCATTTTGGACTCATTATTTGTTGACGGAACTTTGTAGGACGACATTAACAGATATTACTACCAAACCTTCTTTAGCTATTGGAAAATTAGATAGTCGAGGTCAAGAACGAAGACCTCCATTAAAAACTTGGGCTGAACTAACAGTGGGTGGGTTAGCGGGCGCAATATCTCAAACCGTATCATATCCTTTAGAAGTAATTCGACGTAGGATGCAAGTTTATGGTGCATTAGATCCAACAAAATTTATTGGGATGTGGCAAACAATTAGGACAATTTGGTCAACAAATGGATTTAAAGGCTTCTTTGTGGGATTGAGTATCGGATATTTAAAAGTTACTCCTATGGTAGCAGTATCTTTTACTGTATATAATAGAATGAAATTATTTTTGAATATAGATTGACATTTTATGATGAAGATTAGTCAAAAATTATTTAATAGTTTGCGATTTATTAAAAAAAAGAAAAAAAATCAAATTATCCTCTGATCTAGTAAAATTATCAAACTTCATGCATTTTAAGAGTATTAATTATTTTTTAAATAATCTTTTTTTTTTTTTGATTTTTATAAAATTTTCTTTTAGTTTTGCATATATGCCGAAGATATGCGCAATTTCTAATATTTATAATTGTAAGATAAATAAATATAAAATTATAAAATAAATTACTTGCACATTAATTGTGCTAACAAATCTGTGAAATGTTATATTTATTAAATCCTGAGAATCTCGCATTGTCATCACAATTAAAAATACATTACTAATAGAATATCTCGACATGTAAGCATAATTTACAGTCTTCAAATAAGATATAATTTAGTATTTTAAGTAACATATTTTAGGTCTTAAATAAAAGGGCGTCCATATGATTCTTTTGAAAATAGATAGTTTGGAAATTTATGTAATTAAGAAAAGCTGGCTACCAGCAAAAAATGGAAAGAGTCGAAGGTTTCTTTACTGACTATAAAGTGTACAATGGCAGGTTATAAATAATTTATCTAGTTTCTAATGTGATTTTTTACTTTGAATGAATAATTGTATATATTACATAAAGTTTTGAGAGCAAAGAAATAATAGAAGTATATGATGCTTGGACTCGCATTTAATGGCTTAAGACCCGCATACTCTCTCCCTTTAACAGTTAAAGCATATCAAATATTTCGCTTATTTCATTATACTGTAAAAATATATATTGATAATTCTCAGATAACCATGTTATAAACAGTTTATTATTTTAATCGATTATTCAAAATGACCACATGTTAAAATCAAATATATATGAGTGAAAACTTTGTTAATATATATATTTCTAGCTTTTGCAATTATTAGCATTCTAATGAAAATAAAAAAAAATACAGTAATTAAAAGAAAACAATTAATCCTTCTCAAAGATTCTAATTTTCCAGCAAATTTTTAAAAATCAGATTGCAAAGTTGATTTGTGAATGTATTACTACAAAAAAAAAAATGAATACTATCATCTACCATGATTATATAAAAAATTATTTCTTTTCTTAACTTTCTAGTTTATAAATAAGAGACAAAACCTCTTAATAATAGCCTAAACTCAGATGAAATTATATTAAAATCATAATAAGGGATATGACAAAATCCTTCTGATATAAAGTCAAAACTATCAAAAACTATAAAAATATAGAAAAAGGTATAACAAAAGTATTTAAAGAAGTGTTAATAAGCATTTATATTCTAGTTTCTTCTGTTCTTTATTATAAATTTTTTGATTATTACTTTCGATTAGTTGATAATTATGATCTCAATAATAAGATATAACATCTTATTTTTAGCGTTTGTAATTTTATTTTCGATTTATCCTTTATAAATTATAAAATCTATTGGATTAAATTTGCAAACTTATTCAAATTTATAAAGAGAAATAAAAATAAAATACTTTACATTAATAGATTTCTCCATTCTTACATTAACTTCTTTTACTCTTTCTTTGTATTTTGTTAGGAATTCTTTTATCGTGTAATAACATGATATAAATTTTACAAGTTGAATCAGAAAATATTAAGGTTTTACCAAAAAGTGTTAAAATTTAAAAGTTTTATCAAAAGTTGAGGTTCTGATTCTATGAAAAACATTTGAAAATAAATGTTAAAAAATAAGTTTTGTTTTAATCAGATCAATGAAAATTTAAAAATTTTAAGAAAATTCTAAGTTTTCTTTATATACTTTCTAAATACATCATGACATAGACTCTTGCATAAACTTTTAGTATCTTGTAATGATATAATATAGCAAATAATATAAATACTTTGATAGTATATGAAAAAATGATTAATGCATTTATTCTAAAATTCACAGATTCATGTATTTGCATAATTTTGCATTTTTCATATGATCATATATGTATTTACCATTTTAAGAATAAAAAATCCTATATCTTTTTTACAAAAATGATCTTAGCATCAGAAAAGATTATCAAAGAATTCTCATTTTTTAAAACTTATTTTCATTTAGAAAATAAAAAATTATATTGTAGATTTTGTAACTATGTAATTAATTATAAATGTAAGTCTGTTATCAAAGTTCATATAAACTCATCAACTCATTAACTCATTTAAAAAAGAAAGAGAAGTAGATGAAGGTGCTGAATTTTCAAATTTATCATAGATTAGTTTATATATGATTACTATTTCAGAAGTTGAAGTTAAATGCAGTTTTTCTAATTAAAAAAGAATTTTAGATGATAACTATAAATCACTTTCAGAAAATTCTATTGAAATGTTAAATTTTTTTAAAATGAAATATATTTTTACTATATAAAAAATTTTTATTTGCATATTTGCATTTTTGCATTTTGCACTGCATGAATCCGTGGGCTTAGCGGTATTTATTAAAAAGATGAATTATGTTACGTAATTTTTAGGTCGTACGATTGACCGTATTTGACTAAGCAGTATGGCTTTTGTAAATTAATAAAGCGACTTCCATCAAAAATGTCACGAATGGCCAGCATTAAGGATCAGCAACATGCATAATCCTGAGCCATACCTGGCTAATCTACTTGTTTAAATTGTTGTAGATATAATTGCCTATCTCGACAGCGAGGAACCGTCTAACTGGTCTTTTTTTGACTTCCATTCCTCAAATTTCGTTATGATCGTAAGTTCGCAAACGACGTTAACGGTCTCACCGGCACTTGGCGGAATCCTTTCAAACTTGAAATAGAGGCCAAGGTCACAAAGCTGTTAAAGTGAGTATGCTTCAATTTTGTTAGGAAGTCATCTCCTTTCAGGTCACTATCTGACATGGTGCATGAGTAATTTACTCGTCGAGTGCTAGAGGGTTTTTAAAAAATCTTACCAGGTCACTATCTGAGTCAAGAGGATCAGTACACTTACTGCTCCCTCTATGTGCGATTTCCTTTTGGTTTTATCATTAAATCTCGTGTGGACTGGTCTATTATCTTACTAATCACGAAAAAATATTTAATTAAACTCTTGGACATCCAAAATTTTTTTACGATGTAGTTTCATATCAAAATTATAGTTTTAAACATTACAATAGATCATACGACAACAAAATGTTGCGATTTCAAAGGTACTTTTTAACCTTTTGCTACTTTTCAAATGTTGCACAGCTCAGAACCGGTAGGACAGAAATAATTCAATGAACGGTGATGAAGAAAAATCCTCTATTCCTCCCCTTACGAATACTTACTCCGGGACTTCATCGAACAATCTGATACAAATATATGAAACTCTGATTCAACATCTTTAACATCAGCGCAAGACAAAGTTCCGAAACCGAGAAAATACATTAACCGGGATGTAGTAGACGATGTTTTAAAAATGTATCAGACAAGTGTCTGTTTAATGGCGTAAATATATTGGATTCCGCGCATTTAGATATAAAGAAAATGAAGAAAACCGAAATGGCAAAGAGCCCACTTAATCTTCGTGTCATTAATTTCCATAATCTTGATATTTACAGCGATTACATCGCAAACCAACTCCAGGACCAGAATAGTGAGGCTGTCAAGTTTTGCTGATGGGAAAAAAATCGATAAATGTACAGTTATGAGTCACGTGGTACCGAGTAACCGTTTAACTACACCAAGAGCACCCAGAAAAATTCTTCGATCACGTGATATTTGGCCCGCATTATGCATAATCCATAAACCCTGGCCTAACCCTAAATCTAAGGATGTGATGGTTATTGTGTGACGGGGAACCAGACTCTTTCTATTATTAACAAAAACAAATTTATTTTTTTCAAAGAAAAATTTATATTTTTCAAAATAAACTTTATTTTAAACATGTCTAACACTATGCTAGAAACCTTCAAAGGTTTTTTTTGTCAAAAATTTATGACTTTCAGAACCTAAAAATGCATATTACATCGAACTTGAAAAAAAGAGATATCGCTATAGCAGATTTTCTTTCTTTCCGGATACCAGAAATCTTTTGACTTATTCGTCAACTAAATTTTGAATACGACAAAGTCTTTTTAGAAGACCTTACTTTATGAAACAATTTCTTGAATAATAACTTTAATTAAAATATTGCAAAGACTGTTTCTTATATTATTCATGAAACTGGTATTAATGTTCATGAAACAAAAGTCATCCAAGAACTCATTTTCAATATTATTATCAATACAATACTTTCTCATGATAACGAGGATATTGTTTCTATTACCGATGATAAAGAATTTTTCAACAAATAGATACTTTAGATAAGAATAATATGCTTACAGATAATTCACATCCAAGATATAATAACCTTTCCTCTTCTTTCACTTCTTCTCTTCAATCTTCGTTAACATCTCTATACAATAATAATAAAAAATAACATGTTGAAACTGGCAGAAACTGACAGACCTGTCAAATATGACATATATATTAAATATGTCATATCTTCCAAATAGGACACATATCATTTATTATATTTTTATTATTTCACATACATTTAACATAATTAGCATATCTGTTAGCTCTGTTATTATTGTCAATAGTATCATGTATATGTCAGAAGTTGTGACAAATGCTAAAGAAGAGGAAAACTAAGCAAATATGAAGATTTACATCCTATTGCAATATAAGCACCTTTCTATTAAATCAGAATTAACTTTGTAGGACCTTTACACTCAACAAACAAGGAAAACAAATATATTATAGTGAGTATTGATTATTTTACTAAGTGGTCAGAAGCAAAGGCTGTACTGAAAGCTATTACTTCTCAAGTAACTCAATTTGTTTATGAAAAAATTATTTGTAGACATGGATGTCTAATGAAGATATTAACTGACCAAAGAATCCACTTTAATAATAAAATGGTTAATAGATTAATGAATAAATTTAGGATAAAACATCTTCTATCAACCTCTTATTATTCTCAAACAAATGGTCTAGTGAAAAGATTTAATAGAATTTTATAT